TCGCCCTTGTGGACACTGGCGCCGCTGTTTCTGTTATTGCCGCTAATCTCTGCCGTTTATTACGCAAAGTAACGACGCCGCTTTCGGGACTGTCGCTTCACACCGCAAGCGCACAGCAAGTAACGCCTCTCGCAGCCTGCACTGCAAGAGTCTCCATCGAAGGCATTCTTTACATCGTGGAGTTTATTGTTCTCCCTGTCTGTTCGCATGACGTCATCCTCGGGTGGGACTTCCTATCCCGCCATAATGCCGTCATTGACTGCGCACGCGCCGAAGTTGAGTTTTCGCCCTTGTGTGATGTCCCATTACTGGACGCTCCTCATCAGCCGCCGAAGTTGCTTGTTCTTGAAGATACCGATATTCCGCCTGGAAATTTCGCCCTTGTTCCCGTTTCATGCAACGCCTACACTGACGCTACAGTTCTTTTTATGCCTTCCGATATCTTCAAATGTCGTCGAGCTTTGCCGCTGCCTTTCGCAACAATTGACCTTGCCGCCGGAAGAAGCAACATGTTCGTAAGCAATCCGCTTTCCACACCTGTCACATTGCTTGCGGGGGAATGTCTCGGCCGCGTGCAGGATCTCGACCCTTCGTTTTTGTTTGATGTCCCGGACGACTACTGCGACCACCCAAAAGCACTGTCAGCACTTGGGGAGTCGTCCAATGATACGTTTTCCAGCGCCATCGCCGACACTCTCACTCCCACCGAACATGCCGACCTGCTGGATCTTCTCCATGAGTTCAGGAGTTCGTTCGATGTGTCGCAACCTCAACTGGGCCGCACATCACAAGTCAAACATCATGTTGACACCGGCCTACACCAGCCACTGCGTCAAAGACCATACCGTGTCTCCGCTGAAGAGCGCCGCGTCATCAACGATCAAGTCGAAGATATGCTTCGTAGGGACGTCATTCGACCATCTCACAGTCCCTGGGCGTCTCCCGTCGTCCTGGTGCGTAAGAAAGACGGATCTATCCGATTTTGCGTGGACTATCGTCGTTTGAATAAGATAACCCGCAAGGACGTCTATCCTTTGCCGCGCATTGATGACGCCATTGACACCCTTCACGGAGCGGAATTTTTCTCGTCGCTAGATTTGCGGTCTGGCTACTGGCAGGTCCCAATGGCAGAAGCCGATCGCCAAAAAACGGCATTTATTACACCAGACGGACTATATGAATTTAACGTCATGCCCTTTGGGCTTTGTAACGCGCCTGCCACGTTTGAACGTCTTATGGATAATACGCTACGTGGCCTCAAATGGAATATGTGCCTGTGTTACCTCGACGATGTCGTGGTATTCTCCCATGACTTTCCTACGCACCTCCTTCGCCTCAGGCACGTTTTGAGTTGTCTGACCAACGCTGGTCTGCAGCTTAACCTAAAAAAAATGCCGCTTCGCTGCACGCGAGCTCGTCATCCTAGGCCACATCGTGTCCAAGCACGGCGTATTACCAGACCCAGCAAAACTTCGAGCAGTCGCAGAATTTCCCAAGCCGACGACCAAGAAAGAACTTCGCAGTTTTGTAGGCCTATGCTCCTATTTCCGGCGCTTTGTTCGCAATTTTGCATCTATCAAGTCACCGTTAACGCACCTTCTTCGCGGTGACGTGAAACTCACCTCCTGGTCCCCTGCATGTGACGTTGCCTTCTTTACTCTGCGCCGTCTGCTTACTTCCCCACCTATTCTTCGCCACTTCGACCCGACGGCTCCTACCGAAGTGCACACCGACGCCAGCGGCGTCGGGCTAGGCGCGGTCCTCGCTCAACGAAAGCCCGGCTATTCAGAATACGTTGTAGCCTACGCTAGCCGCACTCTGACGAAAGCCGAAACTAATTACAGCGTGACAGAAAAAGAGTGTTTGGCTCTGGTGTGGGCGCTTGGAAAGTTCCGGCCGTACTTATACGGCCGCCCGTTCGATCTAGTAACTGATCACCACGCGCTTTGCTGGCTCTCCACGCTGAAAGACCCTTCTGGCCGCCTTGCGCGATGGGCACTCCGCATCCAGGAGTACGACATTCGCGTCGTATACCGCTGCGGACGCAAACACTCTGACGCTGATGCCCTGTCCCGCTCACCTTTGCCACCAGATCCGACGTGCGGAAACACGTGCCTCCAGTACTTGTCATCGTTAAATCTTGAATCAATTGCCACCGAACAACGTCGTGACCCGTGGATCGCCTCTCTTATCGAATATTTATCTGGCACGCCCAACCTTCCAGTATCTCGATCCCTCCGACGTCAAGCTCTCCATTTCGCCATCCGCGATCAACTTCTTCATCGACGCAACTACGCTCCCGATGGCCGCCGGTGGTTGCTGGTCATTCCACGCACTTTACGATCGCAAGTATGCGCCTCCCTTCACGACGATCCGCAATGTGGCCACGCCGGAGTGTTCAAAACATATGAACGCCTTCGCCATCGCTATTACTGGCGCGGCATGTACAATTTTGTACGTAAATTCGTGCAGTGCTGTCCTGACTGCCAGCGACGTAAATCAACACTGCCACGTGCGACTGGCGCATTGCAGCCACTTCCATGCCCTGCCAAGCCATTTGATCGCGTCGGCGTTGACCTCTACGGTCCCCTTCCATTGACACCAGATGGTAATCGGTGGATTATAGTGGCGGTCGACCACCTGACACGCTACGCCGAAACAGCCGCTTTGCCGAGCGCTACAGCTCAGGATGTCGCCTCTTTCATTTTGCAACACTTTATCCTTCGACATGGTGCACCTCGAGAGCTCCTTAGTGACAGAGGCCGCGCTTTTCTTTCCGAGGTCGTCAAAACTCTGCTTTCGGAATGCCACGTCATTCATCGGAAAACGACAGCATACCACCCGCAGACTAACGGACTAACGGAACGGTTCAACCGCACGCTAAGTGATATGCTCTCAATGTACGTGGCATCTGATCACAGCAACTGGGACCGTGTTCTCCCATACGTCACGTTCGCATATAACACCGCAATACAATCCACCACGGGATTCTCACCTTTCTTTCTTCTTTACGGACGTGAGCCTTCCCATACAATTGATACCCTACTTCCTTACCGTCCTGATGCTTCCGAGTGTCCACCTATCTCCGATGCTGCTAGACAAGCCGAAGAGTGCCGCCAGCTCGCCCGTGCGTTCACCTCGGAAGAACAACAACGCCAGAAAGAAACTTGTAGCACCTCTCTTCCGGATCCCAACTATGCCCCAGGGTCTCTTGTGTGGCTTGCCATCCCATACCAAACACCGGGACTCTCCTCGAAACTTGTCCCGCGGTACGAGGGGCCTTACACCGTTTTGGAGAAAACCTCTCCGGTTAATTTCCTAATTGAACCAGTCTCCCGATCGGACGACATGCGCCGGCGTGCACGTGACATCGTCCATGTTTCCCGACTGAAACCGTACCATGAGCCTTTGCCTGAAACTTCTTAAGTCGCCAGGATGGCTCCTTTTTCAGCGGGGGCGATTGTGAAGAAGAAGATGTGCCTGCAGCGAGCAGCATCGCCAACGCCTGGCTCTCTCGGCTCGTGCTTCGGTTCGTTGCTGTGCCGATCGCTGGACGGTTCTTGACGCTGTCTCGTCGCTGTCTTTAACGGCTAATAAACCTCCTCACAATATATATATACGCGATAGATTTATAAATAAAAGTGGTCTGAGAAGTTCGCTTATGGTGCTTGGGGTTCGTAAACATTACCCTAAAACACATCCATTGCAATGCCCAGAAGAAATAAATCAATATATAACCTTCTGGAACCAGTACAGAAGACCAGTGAACATGCTCCTTCTTGCTGGAATAAATCAGCATTAAGGCTGCCTGCTGTGACCAGTAGAATCAAAGGAACCTGCTGGTTCCATTAGAAACCATGCAGTAAGAGCAGCCCCCCCCCCCCACACGCACGCACGCACGCACGCACGCACGCACACACACACACACACACACACACACACACACACACACACACACACACACACACACACACACACACACACACACACACACACACAGAAAAAAACCAGCATGAAATTTTCACCAGGAAAATCTTTCCTCGGCGCTAGTAGACATATGACCACTGACGACATCATTAAGTTAAGTGTGCTTTATTACTTATTATGATTTAGTAGTTTGGCTGCCAAAAAGTCCCCCTCATCTTCATGACCCTTACAGATTTTCTTTCAACAAACGAACTCCAAATTGCATTGCTTTCTGCTCCTTCAAATAGCGCGAACTGATGTCCTCCACGAGAGCAACGAAAGTCCAATCTCTTATCTGTTTCATATAGTTTCGCCCCGCACTCAAGCACGACGCGCGCGAAGCATGCGGCTTTGTTCCGATGTAACTGCCGGGTACAATCAGTTATATAAAACTTGCGAACATTTTTAGAATTGTATATAGTAAGATGTTCCTTCCATACAAACTTTTGTGGTACCTAGAGCCCCAGTCCTTAATTTTCATCACGCCGATACAATCGGTGAACAGTACATGTCCAACAATTTTTTTTTCTTTTTAACTTTAGGGCGTCTATTCTTATTTCACGATGTTGCAGTAACTCTGTTCAGTCGTGCTATCTACTGACCGACAAGAAAAAAAGTTCAGAAATGCACTTACGAAAATTCTTTGTGTGGATCTGTTATCTGCAGGTGTGCTGAAGTATGGCGGCCGCAACTGTACTGCCAGTAACGCCTGTTGGTGTGCGTCGTCTGCAACGCACGCAACTTGCAACGTACTGTTCAGCACCAATTTTCCAGCACGATTTCAAGCAAGACAATAAAACAAAATAAAAACAAGGCGTCGTGACTTGATGGGCACTTTACGCGTAGCAGACGTACCTAAACCATTTGAATCTTTACAGTTACTCGGAAGTGTGGCGCCATCTACGTCAAACAGTAACTACTATTTTTGTGCTTTTTACGGTGCCCCCGAAGCTTGCACCCATTATAATGCACGTTTTAATCTCGGAGGACCTGTTACTTGCGCACTCACTACGGCAGTAACCTGTGTTGTGGCAGCACAGTGCAAGCGCTCGTTGGTTTCGCATCGTTTTGCAAGTTTTGCGTCGGCTCGCGCTCCAGCCGCCGTAGTGGTCGTACAGCGTAGGTGCGGTGGTCGTTCACTGAACTCCACTACGCACGCGATGTTTACCTAAAGTAGCGTGGCGGAAACGTCTTAAACGTCTCCTGTGATTTTACTCTGGTCACATGTCTGGCACCGAGGACACATTAGCTGTAGGTATGCCACTGTTCAAGAAGTCCAAGGAGTCCGACGATTATCGAACCAAGCTGCAGCGAAAGCTGTACATCGCCCAAGAAAGCCCGGACAACACTTTCGATTTATCCGAGTGCGCACTCGGCGACGTGCCGTCGGGCGTGTTTAGCAAGTGTCGCGTGTTTCGAAAGACGACCTTGATACTGCGGAACAACAAACTGACTTCGATTGGCGGAGGAGGTTCGTTGAAAGATCTTTGTGACATTACAGTGCTCGACTTGGAAAGTAACCTCTTGGTGAAACTACCCGACGAGTTCGGTTTTCTTCGCAGCCTAGTCGTGCTCAGCTTAAAGGGCAACGCCTTGAAAAAGTTGCCTGGGAGCTTTGCAAACTTGACGAGTTTGCAGTCGCTGAACCTAAGTGATAACAAGTTCAGAGACTTTCCGCTGCCGATTCTCCGATTGCGAAAACTTCGGGACTTGAATATAACGCAAAATGAGATCACGAAACTTCCTAAAAACTTCTACGAGCTACGGTCGTTACGTTCTTTCGTCTTGGACAGCTACAACTTCAGCTTTCCCGACGCCGTAGTTTGCTCGCAGCCGCTTCAATCTCTCATGCTTCACTTGTGCAACCTTGCAGGCGTCGAATATGTCCCTCCGGTTGACGAGCCTGACACTAGCGACTGTAAAAAAGAGGCATCAGTGACTGCTGCTTCAACTGGCGTTGACCTAGAAGACCAGTACAGGCAATTTGAAGAGCGAAGAGATAAGCGACGCCAGGAACTGTTGCAAATGGAAGAGGAGCTGAGAGAGAGCGCCATGAATCGCGCTGCAGTCTCGGAAATCACGAACAAACACAGGCAAGAACTGCTGCTCGAAATAGCGCGTGAACAGGACACCTTAGAAGACGCCATTTTAGAAGTACAAAGTAAGAAGGACATGGAGAAGCAGAAGCTTGTGTCGCTGCTACTGCACTTGGAAAAGCACTCAGCCGAGCTGATTCAGCAGATTTCCAACAATATGAGGTCGAAGAACTCCGAAATGCTGGCACGTGCTTTGGAACAGGAGCAACACGAGATGAAGGAACTCTTCAGTATGCAACAGCAGGAAATAGACAGCTCTCGCCGCAAGGAGATCCTGCGTTCGATGGCCGAAATGCTGCACCAAGAAGAACAACAGCGACACTACAGACAAACCAGAGACAGCATCGTTAAAGGAATCCAGGAAGAGGAAGCAGCATGTGACGAGTTGCTGAGAGGCGCTATATTCTCCAAAACGAAGCAACAGGATGAAACGCTCAGCCGCATTATTGACGAAGAAAGATATCAAATGGAGGCATTCAAAGCACTGCAGTTGAGGCATGACTACACCCACCGTTACCTGATACAGCAAATCAGGCTGATCGAGAAAGAGTTGAAGAAATTGACAGATGTCGAGTTGAAGAAGCGCGACTTCAAAGTCATGTCCGACCTCGACATTCTCGCCAAGCACCGTGTCGAGCTCGCTTGCCTTCTTTCCCAGTTGCTCGAAGAAAAAGCAATGCGAGAGAAGCAGCTGCAAGATCAGCTAAAGGCAATAGAAGCTCACAGAAGGCAAGAAATCAATGATTTTTGGTTGATACAGTACCAGAAGCTTCTTGACAGGAAGCCGCAGGATGTATGTGACTTGGACGAGAAGCTCGACTTGCGCATTCGTGACGTTTTGCTTTTGGCCAACGCATCCCACTATGCCACACTCTTTGCTAGCAAAAACGTTGACTGGGAGAACTTCATCGAGCTGGAGTGGAAAGACTTCAGGAGCTTAGGAATCAACTCTGACTCTATTGTACAAATGCTGCTTTCCGCGAGAGTGCAGTATCTAGGTGAACACCCAACTGTGAAGCCAAGTGCACCTTCTCCAGACCAGTCACCCGTCAAAGAAAAAGCTGCTGCTGATGCCAACTTTTCAATATTACAAGTGCCTGAGCTCAAGCTCTGGTGTAGCTCTGAGTGCGTCATTTGCTTTGAGGTGACGAGGCTTCTTGTATTTGTCCCGTGTGGCCACGTCTGTTGCTGCGAACAGTGCAGTGCAGGTGTGAACCAGTGTCCTCTGTGCAGAGCAGGTGTCGAGGGCAAATTATCGGCCACGTAACTGGTTGTGCACATATGTGTGTTCGTTTTGCTTCTATTTTTTTGCATATCTATGCTACACCTAGTCCCTGCTTCAAGCACGCGGTTGTGCGAATTTTTCGACAGCATAGTATCTGCTGTGGTGATGACACTTTTAATGCGTTTGCATCCAAACTACCTCCTACTGTGAAAACATCATGTTTATGTGTTTTTTTCACCAATCAAATGACAAAAGAGAAAGTGCCATTTGCTGGTAGCTTTTATATTTCTGCATAACTCGCTAACTTGATGAAATTGAATGCATTGCATGAGCATGTACAGTCAACTCACAATCGCAGTCAACTGTTAGCATCCACAAATCTTTGTCGGAAGCTTGCGCAAAGTACGGTGGAAAATAAGAATTGATTCTTGGTGAATGTTGTTATGTTCACAGAAACAGTATACAAAAAGCTACTGCCAGACAGCAATTAGCAAAGGAGAGAGCATCACGCACTCTGTGTGCATATTCAGTCTCTGCTATCTGAATGAATTGGTGGAGTCATCTACAGTCATACATGGGAACATGCGGAACAGCTTTAATATCAAACCTGAATGCTCATTTAATATGCATTCCTTTGGACGCCCCCAAACATAAAAGCCCTGATCATATTAGATTATTTTTGAAATGGACCGAAAGACAAATACGACGTAGCTTGAATTAATGTACTTTTTGAGTTAGCAGATTTCAAGCAATTGTGAGCTGACTGTATATGCTGACAAATTCTGGAAAAAAAAAAATTTGGTCGCATTTTAGCACTTTTCTAACACCGTCTACTAACCAGGTTTGTCAGAATGGAGAGCATACTAGCTCGCCCGTACGCTGCCTCTCAGAGGCTAGAAGTTCAGCATTGCATAGTGCCATTACAAAATGAGCAAAACTGTGATGTCTACAAGTGCCACTACTACACAACTGCTCATTAAAAACAATTTTTACTGAGATTTCGAGCCTAGCTGGCTCATGCCACTGCCGCATAATAGGCGAGGTCAATCGCTGTTACGAGCGTTAGTGTGTAATGGCACAGCAACGATTACACCAAGCTTCATTTCGCCATTCTGCTATGACTTGTCTCTACAAGACCGATTGTTTGTGTTCTCATACCCCGCACCTCCACTAAATATGTTGCCAGTCTGCTCTCTGTCATCCTCCTCTTCGTCTGCTTGGCCACGATGCCTCTGGCACATAGCAATATACTACATTTGTTAAAGAATTGAATAGTGAAGTTATTGAGTGTGCAATTATCAGAGTAGACTTAGTAGCTGGTATGGCTGCACCTTTGACCGGAATTCAAAGACCGATCTAAAGCACTCCTCTAGAAAATTGTATTGTCATTCTGATTTTGTGGTTTCTTATGTTAATCCTTTTTGCACTAAATATACATCGTCATCATAGTGCTCCTGCTACGGTAACATGCCATACCAGTGAAAGGGGAGCATGTGTCTAAATATCTTCAGTGTGCTGGCCATGCTGTCAAAAAGTTTAGCAGGGTTGATCTTCAGGTCCATGTAGTGTCATTGGAAGCTCTACAAGATGAATGTTGCCATTTTACCTTTGAGAGTCATGCTGCATAAAATTTTAAAGCCGCTCGCTATCAAACATTTTCTTGAAAAATGAGTAACGTGCTGCAATGAATGTGATACCTGTCAGGGAATGTACTAGTCCAACCCCAAAAGAAGTTTTGATTAAGACGTAAGGTGATAGGAGATATGAAGAGAAATGTGCTAAGTCTGCTTTCTCCAGTGCACCTGAGCTCATAAGTACTCTGCTGGGAACAAGCACGGTGAAAGGAATCGTCTGCCAGCAGCTCCTTTCTGTAATATTTTTTTTAGTAATACACTATCGGTAACTTTCTAAGATTGAAGCCTGATGAAGTACCAGAGAGTCACAAAAGAAGAGACGACCCGATTAGGGTAATGCAACAGCTGTGAATCCCCGTTTCCTCCACAGTATGATAACATATGAATGCATGTGCAAGCCAGTACGTGGCAGTAATTTTTCGTCGAGAGAAATCGCTTATGGGTGGTGTTTGTGGGCTGCTACCACCATATGCGAGTTGATAGGGAAAGTGGTGAGAAGGAAGTCTGCTTTGTAACACTCGGCAGGGTCACTGAATGTCATTACTGCTGCTCCATAAGGGTGAAAAACTTCTCCTGGCAGACTATAATAATTTCAGGAACTAATGCATCAAAAACAGTGAAGCCTCTAAAAGAGAGTTCTCACTCCGTTTGTTAAAAAGTTCTTGAGGTGTACTGTTCATTGGTTCTACTTGGCAATGATGTACTTGCTGAGGCTGCTTGCGCATTCCCTTCAACAACCTAGTCATGTGACCGCTATGATACAGACTGCAATTCTGGATGCGCTGTACATGTACCTACCTGTTCTTAACATTTCCTTTACCTGTATAAACCATCGGCTGACCCCTTACATAGAAGCTAGTAAAATGTGATGTGAGAAATTGAAATTATACATTACTGGCTAAAAATTCCAAACTAAGATGTTTATCTATTTGAGGTGTACAAAAAAAAATAACTTGCCTTTCAAAATAATCGATCGCTGCATTTCAAGGCAAGATTTTAGGACTTGGCGTCTGGTTTCTTCGACTGACACCAAGCGTGCTAGTTCAAGCTGGCTTCACTGCATGAAAACAACTGTAAGTCTCTCCTTAGTTTATTTGTTGGATAAACAGGTATTTCAAGAACTACAGAAAAAAGAAGGCAATTTATAAAGGTAGATAGTCACTTCCTTGCTGTGTGCAGTGGCATAAAGTTTGGTTTTACTTTGAGTGGCACCATTACCTACTTAGTGATGACATTTATTTGCTGTATTTAGCAATAGTTAAAAGGCCTGCTGAGCATCTCACTGCAGCCCTTTCAAAAGATTTAAGGGAGGTCGATGGGAATGGGTGACATGCACATTTAGACACTTAATCTTACACCTGCCAATAGTTCAGGATCACCGTGCCCACTTTGCAGTTTTATATTGAATTACAGCCGAACAAGGCGTGCTTAGTTTGCATGGCTCGTGAATGAAAAGTAGCCCATCTCAGAATGGTCTGTGAATAATTGTGCATGGTGTTTGAACCATATTTTCTACATAAAGTTTAGCAGCTGATTGAAAGCCAACCCATGGTGGTCAGGCTATTTTCTTCACCCATGTTTGCCAAAGAAATTATGAATTTTTTATAGGACTGGAGTGGCAGACTAGCAATATCTCTGTGATACAAGCCCAAGTTTTGTTGATCTTTTTAAAGGTTTGTTTATATAAAATGCCATTGTGTAGAAATGTACTGATAGTTGTTTATACATTTATGTGCGGTAAAAAGCATGTTAATTTTATGCTTCATCCCGCAAGATTTCCCAATGAATAGCACGCAGGTCTGTTGTTAAGGAATGGCATGAAAATGCCCAGTTTCTTTTGAAGTCGGCAAAGAAAAGTGGCATTGGCAAGTTATGGCTTGTCCATTTGCGGATCACTTTTTCCCAAATAAGGGCGCTGGTTTGGTTGAGACATGGAATGCACTAACCATGCTGGTTAATGATAGTTTGTAACTTTTTATTCAAGTTCTTTGCATTAAGAAGATAATGATAGAAAGAAAGAGAAGTGTACATCAATGATTATGCCACTGCCACAGCTTTACACCAGCAACTTTGCAAGATGTGGTTGGCCATTGCAATAGTAAGCTTCATGTCTATTCTGATCACACTTTGTGGCAGAAGATAATGACACAATACTGTGTGTCGCTACAAAACTTTCAGTCACAAGTGCTGCGTCTACCAATGCTGCTGACCGTGTTACTGGCTCCGTTAGACTATTCAACGATTGCGGACTCAAATGTAGCACGACATGTTGGTAACAGGCACCGTGACGTTTGCGTGCTTGTATCATGTGTTCCTTGTGGTGCACTTCATACCTCATATTCTAAGAGAGTGTAACGAAGAGACCACCATCTCTTACTTTTTCAGGGCCCTCGTAATGGATCAGATTTCTAGTGAAAGTTCAAAACATTGTGTAGTGTTGTTTCAAATGAATAAAAGTAAGGCAAGACTGAAGTTTCTCTACCAATCCTAACATTTTTTTTTTATAATGTGAACCACATCTGGACGTTCAGCCAAGGCTATGCTAATTTGGAACGGCTCAACAAGCTTTGAAATTGTTTGTGTGACAAGGGTGTATAATATGTGTCTGATTCGTGTGTGACAACAATGGGTTGAACCAGTGGTTTGCTTGCATAGACTTATGTTCATACTTGCTACGTCGTATAGAATCCTTTTGTCATTTCATTTTCAGTGATCGTCGAGTTGGGATAGTGCTTTTCAGACATCATAAGAATGTGCAGCACAGAACTAATGAGAACAAAAGAAACTGCTGGGTGGCTGTAGCCCCTGCTTGAGAAGTGTTTGCGTACCAAGTAGGAACAGCGGCAGATGTTTCAAAGCCACTTCATGGAGGACAGAAATAGCAGCTGGGAGCTCCGAGGCTCGAGAAACCTAAAGTGTACCATTCGTCTTGGGAGTGGAAAAAGCTTGGAACAAAATTCTTAGTAATGTGGTCTTGAAAACTGCTTGTTGAAGTGCCATTCTAGTTAGAGATTTTTGGTGAAGATTGTCAACTTGAGTATATGGCTGCAGTGGGAGTGATGATAATGCTTAGCCTTATTGTCTTTCAAAATGGCACATTTTACTTCTGTGATTTCACTTCTCACATATATGTCACCAGTTGAAGCTGATACGTGTGCGTGTACCGTTCCTGTGGTAAACATAAGAAGTAGTAACTTGCTTTATTGCTTTACTGTGCAACATTTAACATTGGGTTTATAAAGCAGGGCTCTAAAAGAAAATTTGCAAAAGCATGGAATCTTTTTTTCTCAGCATATTTTGTGCTGCTATCATTTATTGAGATATAGCATGCATAACATGTTAGTGAAACAATTTCCACAGTGATTTTTAACCCTTGCGGTACCACTGCTTTGCTTAAGTGTGTAAGTTTGTTTCATCTGAAGAGCAGGTGTGACAGGCACTGCAATCATAAATGCATGCTTGGAAGGTATGCATTGCAATTAGCTTTTCACAAAACTATGTTTAATGCTGCTGTAGCATGTCAAACTATTGATAAGTGAGGCTTATGCTAGCAACATTTTTTGCCGCTTCTGTACAAAGTTATTCTAGGGTTAATATGGTGATGAACTTATTGCATGTCTAACACAAGACATTCTTACATCAGGAAGGTGGTTTCTGTAACAATTGTGCATCAGGAAAGACAAACTAATTGATATGTGGGGTTTAACGTCCTAAAACCACCATATGATTATGAGAGACTCCGTAGTGGAGGGCTCCGGAAATTTCGACCACCTAGGGTTCTTTAACGTGCACCCGAATCTGAGCACACGGGCCTACAACATTTCCGCCTCCGTCGGAAATGCAGCCGCCCCAGCTGGGATTCAATACCGCGACATGCGGGTCAGCAGCCGAGTACTTTAGCCACTAGACCACCAGGGCGGGGCAAAAGACAAACTAGTCACTATATGAATATAAAACTAAATAACCCTTACCACTTGGCTTTATTTTGCATTGCCTGTGAATTTATTATCTGCAGTAATTATATGCTAGGCAGATGATTGACAAGCTCAACTTTTTGCAGAAGCAAGCCATGATTTCGTACAGGACTTTAGCCCTAAATATCCAGTGTATGGCTTGGTTTTTTCGAAATTATTTGTAAGCATTTGTTATTTACAGCATAGTTTATTCATCACAGTAATACTGCACTGTATAAAAATGCACACTATTTAATGCATCGTCATATTGAGATTGCTGGAAGTTATGCACATTTTGCCCTTACACGTGTACATAACAATGTGTTTCAGTAGTGAAGTTGAGTGTGATTGAGATACGGCGACAGTCACCTGCAACACCAAAAAATGTTCTAGCTCTGTCTAGACATTACTTGTGTAGATTGTAATGTAGCATTTCTAAATCAGCAAATTCCAATGTTGTACACCGGCCTTTTGAAAACCAAGCAGAGGTCTCTTGCCCAAATAAAATGCAGACGTGTATAACAATTCTTGTGCTTCCTTGTACTTGACTGTGAAAATGTGCAAGAGCTTGCCTGAATTTTGTGCTGGGGGCCGCTTACTTAGAGAGTCATAAATTCAGCATACTTACTCTTGCGGTGGTGCTTGTGAACTGTTACCTTATAAAACTTACCGAACAAAGCAAATTGAACAAGCTATGTGAACTTGCATTTTACTTTTCAGATTGATAGAACACCAAATTGCAATAATTTGATTATATTATACACAGTGTTGCTTTGCAAGCTTGCATGGCTGCTCCAATAATGCAACAAGCCTTTTTGAACATATTGCATTTGTATACACACTTGAATATATCTCTGCAAGTTGTGAATCTTCAACGGTGCTTATGATATGAGCAAAACTGTTGATGCAATCATCATGATTTCAAATAAAGCAGACTATATACAAACATGTCTATCATTCACCTGACAAGCGGAGCTTTGTCGAGTATTGTCTTGTGACTAACCTCACCTCGTAAAAGCAACCAAAATTGGGATCTAGGAACGAAAATTGATGAAAAAATGACATGCATACATCTTCCACGTAATTCCACTTTCTGCCAATGTTCTATGCTGGCGTGAAGCTCTGGCAGGCCAACAAAAAGTTGATGTCGCATAATGTTGATGAGTTTCATTTGATCAGATAGATTTGTAGCGTATACAGAAAATGAGTAGATCGTTGACTGAGTCAGAAGGAACCTGCAGTGTTCCAATTTGTACTTTACTGTTTTTCAGTTCTCTGCAGAACCTAACCTTTTCTATAGTATAGTAATAATGCACTGCCTTCAACCACTACCTCTACTACCAACTCTCGGGGGCCATTCCGAAATCCTCTTGAACGTGGATATCGATTTCCATGCACATCTTGCAGAATATTCGCCGAGATTATATTGGAGATTGCAGCATAGTTTATACAGCACAGTAATACTGCACCGTATAAAAATGCACACTATTTAATGCATCGTCATATTGAGATTGCTGGAAGTTATCAACGTTTTGCCCTTACACGTGTACATAACATTGTGTTTCAGTAGTGAAATTGAGTGTGATTGAGATACGACAACAGTCACCTGCAACACCAAAAAATGTTCTAGCTCTGTCTGGACATTGCTAGACACCCAATGACAGTCTAGACACCCAATGATTCATGGCAAACATTGTCGTAGCTCGAAGTATGCAGCAAGCAAACACACCGCCCTTTTGAATATATAGAACTGCAGCATTCAAAACTAATACTCATGCCTGAGAATTTGGTACTTTTGGAGAAAGGAAAAAGACAATGGCTAACTATATCCTAACTGCTAACAGTTGTATTGTAGCATTGTTACTCCTTTTTTTGATTTTTTTCTCTAAGTGTAACAATTTCTTGGCTCATTCCTCTTAATGAGTACATGCCGAAAATGTACTTCATCACTGTCATTACAGCAAGAGGCTAATTAATCTTAAAACCATCTAACCATGAGGCTGCAGGGCATAATAATGGACGTGTCACTCTGTCAGCGAAAACACTAGAACCAATTTTACAGTTTCCAGACCAGATTACATTACTGAATTTTACGGCCACTGCAATACATGGTATGCAAATGTGTATACAGCCGTAAAAAACTATAACCAATGGGAGTTTCATGTTTGCCACTGCCTCACATAGTCTCAGTAAGAGGTGCTCATACGGACTATTTCCAGAAACTTTCTTTACTCCACTGATGGGTTGCAGCACTTGACAGTTGAAAACAATGACAGACGGTGCACTTTTTCCACAACCATTTATTTCCCGAAATATCCATAGACACATCTGTCCAGCAAATTCTAACAAATACTCCGCCACTTTTTTAAAAACAATCTGTCATAAGTCTCAGACCAGCTCAGGCAGACGGTTAAATACATGGCCACCGTTCGAAGTTAAGCAGAACTGAGGCCCCAAATGCTGATCACTTGTTGTTCTTGCAAATCCACCTGCTGGGGTACATGTGGTTTTGGCCAAGGATGCAGCAATAGACAGAAAAAAGAAGGCAACACTACCAGGCCACACTTAAACACAATATAAAAGGAGAACAAAAAAATTGTAGATATCTATACGACAGTGTTGACACAGCCCTAATTTCACTACTTTCAAAAACTTGCATTACATTTATTAGCGGCACCAAAAATTCTTATTAAGCAACAAGTACAAGTAACAAAGACCAATGTCTAGAAATGTTCAAACACTGTATTAATGCGGGACAAATTAGGAGCTAAAGCACCATACACAAATAGTAACATTTGCCAACTTTTTCACACCAGCCCATGATGAACAATGCACAGCATTAACCCCTTATCAGGGGAGCTCTTTATCCAAGAACAACCATGCATTGGGGAGATTTTGCAAGATTTTGTATTCAATTACAAAAATGACTTGTTTTTTTTTTTGTGGAACATAGATGCAGAATGGGTAATTACAGTTATTTAACATTGTTTGATACTTCTCTCTAATAACAAAAAAAAAAAAACTGGTAGCATGGAACACTGGCAGAATCACCGTTGACCTCCAAAACACATTTATTATTGGAGTCATCACTATGCTGAAGCAGCAAATAGTTTCGCTGTCCATTAGGTTATTGCCTTTTCAGAGATCCCCTATTCGGGCATTTGGCACATTTTGTGCCACGTTCAACAGTTTCTGAACCCTAATTTTCCTACGTACATGGTCACACTCCTTACTACGTGCTCACCAGTTTAACTTCTATAAAAAAAAAAAAGAAGAAAGTGGTGCCACCTGGTAAACGAGCATCTCACACCAGTCATTATCTTTACAGAGAATAGGCAGCTCATGTAATGCTTGAATAAAAATATGCGCCACTTGAATTAAACTTTTAAATGTGATGTACGTTTAAAAAGATTATGTACGTTTTAAGTGGTCGCATGATTGGAGAGATGCTCCCCAAGGCATGGTGACCTTGTAGACAAGCGCCTCTGTTAAGGAGTTAAGCTCATTGGATAAGCCTGATAGCGGCATTTCAATTTTACCCACTCAGCAAAGAACGTTTCTGGGGATACAACGAAAAGGAAAACTACGATTCCACATTACTCTCATTGCCCACAAAACGAATGAAACACACCGAGAAGAAGCTGCTGTGGTTTGTGAAAGACACTTCTTCAGGGCTAAACATGAAACACTTTTGTTCTTACAATCTCACCACAACTGTACAATGAGATAAACATTGTGTAATTAAACAGTTCGTTGGTTCGATACCCAATGACGCACGGCAAACATTGTCGTAGCTCGAAGTATGCAGCAAGCAAGCACTCCCTGCAATCCCAAGGCGTTTCGTCTACAATAGGGTCGTAAGTACAAACGTATACAACACTTACCCGTGAGCTCAAACCTCATAGCAAATATACTACTGTACACACACTTTGAGATGTCTTGGTCTCCTGCATAACACGTCGCAAAAAAAAAAACAAATAACTGCGCACTAAAACGTCCAAGCACTGGGGTTCCTCTCCTCCCAAGAGTTCAACAGCAGAGATGAATACCGCTGCCATTAAAAAACGACACCTTACAGCAAAAATAAATATGGCTATAAATATAAAAACAACTAATAAAAACAGCGTATTTACTGTTTCGAACCACAACCATAAAGTGATGGAAAGAATGCGAACTAGATGGACGAGACATGTACCACATTCAGCACGGTAGTAGGGCATGTGAATGCTGGCTTCAGTGCAGATATTTAATAAATGTAATTGCGTAAAACACTGCAGCTACACTATTCCATTGTTCCCTACTAAATCTGCACACAACAAAGCGAGTAGAGGAAAACTGCTTGCAAACACATGATGCTTTTTTGTCAAGAACCATGTCAATGACAATGAACTTGCTACGGTAAAAGAGAAAAAGTGCTATGCAAGACAAAAAGCTTAAAAAAAAAAAAAAAGAATGAAAACCCCACATCTGTTTTTAAAGCATTTGACATGAATGATATGACCCTGAGTACGTGAATTTGATGCGGTTCCAACATATGTGCTTACTCACAGAGAGTGAGATTAACGTAAAGGCTACAGAAAGGACATTCTCAAAGAGTGCGAGAACATGGCACTAGTAATAAGAAACAAAATATCGACTGAAAACACGAGTACTTTGCAAAGAGCACACCTATTGTAAGAAAAGTAAAAGAAATTGCTAAAATCATGACCCCAGTAGGTATCTGCATTCACAAAGACAAATACTGTATACGAAAAAATTGAAGAAAAAAGGTCCACGCCTCACATTGGGGAGCATTGTGATGTGAACTCATTCTTAAAACACATAACATGTTTGTTGAGAAGTGGTTCAAGGAAGTGAAACCAATGTAACCTGAACAATCTTACAAATTCACACACCAAGAGACAAATTGACGTCTGAAGATCCCAACACTGCAACAGTGTGGAATGTCCCTACTGATTTGTATATTTGGACACAGAATGAGAGGGCATGATATGTGAGGTCCTGATGCCAAATATTTACATATAACACTATTGGAAGATGAATCAGATAACCAACTGCCTTATGTAAAGACTTTGATATGCATTTTGTTCAATAAAATTTTGCTATGCTGTATCAGCCATGTAGCACATGCATAAACTTAAATATACGCGAAAGGAAAGGCCATTCTAAAGAAGATTGAAAAGGGAGAGATACAGTGACAAAAACAACAAAAACAACATTTTCTGTCTCCAGAGGGTGATGTTCATTAAAACGTTGGTGTGGTTACGAGCTACCTCTGATCATGTAACATTAGGAAAGAAAAAAATGTCTATCAATACAGAAACATTAATGTGTTAATTAGCAGTAACTACAAATTTCCTAATACAGATGACGAAGCCCGATTTTCAAAAAGAATAAATGAAGTAATGCAGTGTCTTTTTGTTGCTAGGGAGAGCAAGTAAGGACAAGTAGAGGCAAATTTAAAAAATAACAAAAGCACATAGTGGCACTTTTCTAGACATGAACTTCTGGATAGAGTGTTCGCTCTGTATCTAGAGCCAGAAACTGAGAAGTCAACGTAAATTTGATAGTACCAGTACCTTCTCAAAGAGCAGACGTGTGCAATAAAAAGCACTTCAAACAAACATGGAGGCACAAAAAGTTATAAACGACACGAGCATGATTCGGTTATCTGTCAACCCTGTGCAAAATAGACGCAAACTGAACAGAGTGTATGATAACAAAACAAGAAAAGGCAACAAGGATTGGGCAAATCAAAAACAACAAAGAAAGCTTGCTCAATAATGATATATATACAAACAATGCCAACAAAATGATAAAGTGTTCAAAACAATACTGATGTGCAGTTCACTCTAATATGCAAATGAGGTGCCTTGTACATTGTTTAGTCACAGAATGAAAAAAGAAACAGGCAGTTGAAATTGCATGGTCCAAAAATGTAAACTCTAAATTAAATTATACCGAGATAACTACTCGATTACAAAACATACAACAGTATTGGATGGCAGACTAATTTTGATTTAATTTTGGGATTCTTTGGAGAGCACCAGAATATAAGCATGCGAGCATTTTTGCGTTTTGGCTAAACCCGTAGTCATGAATGGATTACAGAGCCAGCAATGTTGAAGAACGTTTTTTTTTTTCATGTGAAATTTGAAAAAAAGATAAAGGAAAAATATATTATATTATAAAATGCAAATGCTTAACCATGTATTAGCAACCTTTTTTTTCTTTTAGCCCTTCTCTCTACAGATAATGCTTGCGCTGTCTGCAATGATAGCGAGAAATCAGAAAGGACACCATGAAAGGTAAGACTCTTTATGCAAACAGACAGTTTTCATTTCAGTAAGCTGTATAGCAAGAGCTTCAAGCTTGATTAATTTCTACGAGAATAGCATTCTAAAGTCATATAAAAGATATTATCATGCCTGATATCGTACAGTTCACGACTTGCTGTATGTCTTTTACATTGAATGCAATTTCAGATTTGCAGATTGAAATAATTTACGGTAAAAAATTTACCCTGGGAAAGAGGTCGAAACCTTGAAAGCTGGCAACATGTATGCAGGCAGCAAGCTTTATATTCCTGCCATAAAGCACACAACAATCTGTGTTGGTGTAACTACATTCAAACAGTAATGAACAAGCAAACTCAAGAAAAAGGACACACATTCACATTTAATGAATGCAATACAGTTTTAGGAGTTCTTCATTCCGATTTCAAGAGGTTGGAATTGAGTGAAACATTGCCTTACATGTAAAAAATAGATAAGCAACAATTAGTTACCTGATATGAAATATAAGTTTTTTAAGGTGCCTAGTAATACCCACTATGGCACGATTGCATTTCTTTTTATGTCCTTCAGATAAAGTGATGATTAATTATTAAATGAAACCAAGCTCCAATCACACATCTGTTAAGTTACCTTAATATGATATCCCAGCCTTTTAAAAGTCGCAGTGCTTTTGCTGACTTTAAGATGCCTGTCTCTGTAATTGCATCAGTCACTGTGGCATAAGAAGTTGTTGCTCTCCAGCATTTAATATGAGCCCCTTCAATGACAAAATTATTCATTATTTATGAATTTCTACAAGAGTACAACATGTAACGATTGCCAACCAAGCTTGGTTGTGCTCCTTTTGCTTAGGTATGTGGCTCAAGGTACTCCAAAAGAATTGGAAGATCACGGTTCCTATTTTTATGGTTGTGACAGCTTAGACTCGTACTGTGCCATAATGGCTGGAATGCAAAATGGCTGAGCAGCTGTGCCCTTTTTGAGCACAGCATACCGTAGTGCATCTTTGAAAAAGATGCGATCAAGATGAAAGGCGACTACCACTGATGTACGTTTTCTACCTTCCCTAAACCATCTAGACACGAATGCATAAACTAACTTTATCCCTGGTAGCTACAAAATCGACGCCTGTCAAAAAAACAAGGACACACTGATGCACTTTGATATAGCATGGATGCACAGCAAGCAGGCTGATCCAAATTCACACGAGTAATGTACAAAATAAAGCCATGAAACAAATTGAATGAACTTTGGGGACACAAAAACACACAAGTACACACACACACACACAGATAAATGGAGGCTTTAGATGCACCACTGAGATGCCAACTACGCAAGTTACTATTTTTCGCTGTGTACGCATAAAACCGACCCGCATGTGCACTTTTGGAAGACTGTGCTCTCCTTGCATCGGAAATGTGAAACGTGCGAGCAGGGGCTCGGAGAGGAGCAGCTGACGCTGGAAGCAAAACAAGCAGGTCGGCATGTACATGGCATTCATAGCAGGGCTGCTCATTTCAAGCATGGCAACATCAAGAAAGCTTTCAAATTTATTCCTGTTGCCTGCAAACCTGGATACAGCCGAACATTGTCAAGAGGCATCAACCATGCTTTTTATCAACCCATTTGTACTGCTAGTACTTTCGAATATTGTGCAACGTGCCATTTACTGCTATGCCCGATAGTGGTTTGAGGCTGGAAAAGACGCTTTTTTCCGCAACCTATAGGGGAGTATGGTGAAGCTTTATGGGGGAGTGAAAGACATGAGGGGAGAAAAAATATGAACTCCTTCTTGATATAAGTGCCCATTTCATGAACACATCATGAATGCACGGGATGCCTCATAAAAGAGAAATACTTCAGACCAGTTATGACTGTGTAGCTCATCAACATATTTAAAAATAAAACAAAGATGTGGAAAAAAGCCAGTAATGTGCAGGCCAAGCCGCCAGCAAAACGTTCGTGAGCCATGTATTCGAGATCTGTGTCCTCAAGTCTCCTTATAGTGCAACCAAGCTGTGGTTTTTGCAGGTCTTCGTATTCTGTCACACTTCAAAGTGTGGCCACCACAGCAGTGACTCAAATGAGCAATCTCAATCTAAGAATGGAATAGCTGACAACCCACTTCAACAGGCACCTTAATCATAAGAATGAGTTACACAAATTGGCTTTGCTATTCATCGAAAACAAGCGGCCCGTACAGGTGCCAATACGTCAAATTACAGTCAATTTCCTTTGACATTCTGGCAGGTTTTTGCTTCATTTAACTGCCAGCTACCTCCCTTGTAACAACACAAACAAGCAAGAAGCAGATAATTAAAAAGATAAGTAATTAAACAGATGTTAATAGCCAAAGATCTGGAGAGTTCATGTTGCTAAGTCTGCTGCCAGAACGGTTGCCAGCACTAAAAATGAGTAGCACTGCCTAAAGCTACATATCTGTTGCATAAATCTTGTCTTAACTAAACACCACCACCCCCTACTATAAAAGCTTATTACCTGCTTGAAAGACGTTTCTTTCGTGGTCCCATGAAAAATGGTGAGCATTGTTCTACTTTACAGGCTGTATCTAACAACACTGCTTCTTGCTGAAAGCCTAAAAACTACAAAGCGAATTCACCTGTCATGGTTAAAGTGAAATTTCGGACTGTGCAATGCATGTGAGAATTTCTTGTTGGTTTCTGCCAAGGAGAGCTTTCAACTCAAGCTTGCATTGTTTGTCAGCGGCACAAAGTGAGAGATGGGGTAATTTCAATGTTTCTCAGTCACGCTTATGCTGAAGAATTACATTTTGGATTTCAACTGAGTAGAAAACCGAGATTAAAACTTGTTCAGTGAAATGCATACAAAGGTAAGTCACTAACTGCAAGACTGACAACACAGCATCAGCCATTAAAAGGCCAGTAAACAACCTTGTAGTCCAAAATATCTAATGAAAAAATAACTGACACTTGTATAATGTAAACATGCTGCCACAAAAACTTTGCGAATAAGTGCTGTGTTAAGGAAGTTACAGGGTATAGAACGGCGCGTGTTGGCGCGTTACCTTTCTCACTCGCCCTTCCTACCCTTCCCTTGCAGCGGAGAGGGGTAGGCATAGCTCTTATTCGTGACTACGCCCACTTTGTCAATGTAACACAACGTCAGTGATTACGTCGTCGATGTACGGCCAATGATCAGGCAAGGCTTGCCTCCCTGTGTGCACGTGTCATAGCGGCACGGGGACGAAGCGCAGTGCGAGTACGAGGCACTGGTGAGGTATGAACCCTTCCCTAGTGGTAAAAGTAGCGAGATGCCTCTTCATGTCGGAGGCTTTTGTTCGGGCTATACCACTTGAGGCGGCAGTCTCAGGCTCTACAAAATGAAGTTGCCATAGAGCAGCACAGGAAAATGAAGATGCAGACTGTGCGCTCAAAGCGGCATTACTGCAGGGCCACGGAGCCGTTTCGTATTACAAAGGACCAGCCGACAAGCTTAGTGGAGAATAGTGTTGCCTATAGGCAACATTTCGTCACTGCACATACAAGGAGGATTGGACAGGTGTAGTAAAAAAGTGCTGCAATTGCTTTCTTTTTAATGGAGCGCTTGCGTCGTGTACAGTGCCATAGTATTTGCAAAATGTGATCACTGTCGTCTACTGCACAAATTAGTGAGCATGTTTGGAAGGTGTAAACAAAAAAAGAAGTTGGAGAATGGTTTACTAGCTCTTCAAAAAGAAAAACACTATCGACACTGACCTGAACTCTACAGGAATGACATGATGTATCGCTACAAAATCAAACATAATCTACTTGCAAAAAATTTGACGTAGTAGCTGATGCACTTCAACGCTTTTAATGTTACTACCTAGGTTTTAAAAACTACTAGCACTCAGGATGTTTACCTAGCTGGTACACAATGCAGTATGAAATACGGTGCAGTACTCCTTATGAGCTGCTGGCCAGCACTTGTAGATCACAAATTCCGATATCTATAGTAACAATTTTTCAGCCATAATATAGCATCCTGCGGCATACCGCATGAGCCAATATCTTTCATCCGCGCATCGTATATGTCTGGGCGAACAAAACAAAGTTAACATTTCACTGAGGATTCAAATATAAATGCCCCCCCAAAAAAGAAGTGTTTGGTTTGAATGACTGGCAGATCAACCGTGTGCATCACCACTACAAAACGACATTATATAGGTACTGCGAAAGAAAACAGCTTCAAGCCTGACAGACATGCGAGGAAGCCCTCACGTTGGATGATGTCTCTTGATGAAAAAAGCAGAGCGCATAGACCAGTGTCTGATTAGATACGTGAAAATGGTGACAAATGAAACGCCAAGTGTGATGCCTTGAGTGAAGGCTTCCATCATAAAGGCATGGAAAGTAAAGACAAGCAATAAAAACAAAGATGTGCGTTATGGCATGGTGCCTTCGAAAGCAGTGAGTCGCGACTTTACAGTATACGTTCTATGTACACAGCGTTGTGCTTCTCCTGGCAGAGTGTGCGCACACGTGACGTGCTGGCTTTGAGAAATTCGTAGTGGCTACAATGTAAATTGGCGATAGTGATGGGGAAGACTAATCTTTGTCAGGGATAAGTTTTAGATTAGTAAAATAGATACATTCATTTGTGCATATTTTCAATGTATGAGCGAAGGAGGTCGTGGCCCTATGCCTCATTATCAGAACAAATGCCTTAAATTCATGTTACAACAAAATTTCACGTAAGAGGGATCACATTAATTTTGATATCTAATCTTTCATTACGAAATATGAAAAACCAGAAGCGTAAGCACGGAGTTCTCCTCTAATACTATGAATAGGCAATCGATTTTTTTTTGACAGTTAAAAATCAAAGTGCCGTAACATTGTAAAAGAGTTGGGCACTCCAGGAAGTTTTCCATAAATAAGTACAGTTACGGCCTTGCATGATGTGGCTAGTGCATGAGAAATGAACAGCCCTGTTCAATTTCACCACATTGACGCATTGTGCCTAGAGCACAATGCCCAAACTGCTACTAAGAACACAGCATCAGGAGTAACAATTTGTAAGCAACAATGAATAAATAAATAACACGGCAGTAGGACCAGCTCTCGTGAAGCATTCGTGCAAGATGCTGATGCCACCTTGCATTTCAGTATAGTCAGCATAAGCTGAAGACAAGCATGATAGTTGATGGCCTTAATGCACACCGTGGACAATCGTGAGCAACCGAACCCATGTCGTTGTAGACTCGAAACGCAAAGGCCCAGCGCATGAAGGCATTGACGCACTTGAAAGTCTTACAATGCAAACGAATCAAGGCACTGACCCTACAAGGTGTTTTTCAAATGACAGCAGGTGCCACGTTACACGGGGCAGCGTACATGACATACCCCGAAATGCAAATCCTCTCTACAAATGAATAAAATGTGTAGCTTGAAGATCCAGTTTCACTGAGCCACGGTGGCTCCAATCATGGCAGTGACATGATTTAACAGCCTGCTGTTAGAGCATCCCGAATTGCCCGACATGGTAATACTATTACAAGGAAATTTAAGCTTCTAAAGGCAGCAAAGAAAATTATTATTTCTAAATGTTTAAAAAGCCCTAAACAGGCCTTAGAAAAATTACGGGTATACTACACCAGAAACTTTGAAATTCAGTTGCATGTACAAGCAGATAGAAGAGGTTTTCCGTAAGTTCATGAAAGACAGCCAACTAAACAGCTGAGTTCATGAAACATGGAGATATAAACAGTCAACCTGCCTTGTTATATGTTAGGATCTTAATGATCGTGCTTGTAAAATTTTTTTTTGTCCTGCACAATTAATCAAGTCTTTCCGCCAGCTCTCATAAACTTGGCAAACTTTCTGCAGCTCTCATTTCATGCCTGAACATGAACACGGTTTTACATAAATAAAGTTATAAATACTTATAGTGGCCTCGCCTTTGAGGCTATGTTCGCAGTATCAGCTGTCTTCTTCCTATCCTGCCACTAATGCTGGCGATCAAACAATCTTGCTTCGACTGCTACGACAACAGCCTCGAGGTCAGTAGTAGTACAATGATGAAAGACAATGGCATTTCATTGTGCCCATGGGATCACCGAACTACCCTTCGAGTGCACGGTTCAGAATATATACACACGCTCACTAGAACTCATGTGGATGATTTTGTTTTGAGAGCGTACCTAAGCGATTTCTCGCACGTATGACACACGTGATGTCGCTAGAGTGAGCCAAAGGGTGAACAGCGCTTGGCTGGATCAAGGCCCATTATACAAATGCACAGGAAAAACTTTCCCAACTTGCTGTTTGACACATGGAGGAGTGCGTTGATGCTCAATCCGAGAACATCAAAATAACATTCTATTCTCATTGACACACATCGGGCTTGGTTCTGTCTCTCTCAAAAGAGCCATAAGCATGTGTGACGCTATGTAGTAACATTGATCAGTTGAGTCAGCTGAATTGCTTCACCAGTACACAAAGTCAACACTGACATTTCACTCTGTTCGATTCTGATGATGGTTAAGAAAATTTGAGGCTACAACACTTCAAAGCCCAGGCACTTTTCATTTATCTTAAATGTCCTTATTATTAATATGATGAGATTAACAGATGTGCATGTGCTGAAACTTACTAAGACCTCCCAGAGATTTGTTTTAGAATTGTCCTTGTATAAATAAAAAATATTGCGGCCCAGAAAAGCAATGTTAAAATTTCGAAAAATAATAATGGGGAAGCTTCATACAGAAAGATGCTGTAAGACTCCTTCTGAATTTCTGAAAGAAACATGAAGGAAAAGAAAAGATTTTCATTTAAAGCAATTAGCACTGCTTAAGGACAAATGCTGTCAGTGGGATAAATTTGGGTTTGAGATGTATTTGTTTCAAATGACAAATGCTAACTGAAAGAAAGATTTTTTATGAACAACTTGCATATATTGCCACAAATAAAAAGTCTGTGTTGCTCTTTACAGCCTTTACAGGCTTCTCAACACCAGCATTTTTATTTAGAGCAAGAATTTTAAAATCTTTTAAATTCGTGTCAGCACTCCTTCAACTATTTAACCATAGCTCAACGGCACAAGTATTTGTCACACAATATAAGAGAAGGCAGCCAACCACATTCTGTTTTAACATAAAACAAGTATGTGCTACTTTTTAACTGAATGCCTGGCCAATGAATATTGAAAGATCGATCGACTCTAGTGGTTGATCTATAGCACATTTTTTTTTTTTCGCAACATAAACATTTTTTTGTCACAAGAAGAATGGCTTCTTCCACCGGTCATTTACAAGTGATTAAATTAGCTCTTCCAGAACAAGGAATGAAGTTCACCATAAGAATCGCACAAGAATGTTGCCACAGTTCAATTGACCACATTCTGATGACAGGACATCATCTGAGTGACAGTGATCTGAAAGACAGTGTCAACTAACGTGACGCCACACTTTGAATCCTCTCCCTTGCTGTATTCATCATCTTCATCATCATCAGCAGCAGCAGCCAGAATACGCTCACTGCAGAGCAAAGACCTCTCCTACGTTTTTTGAAGATCTTTAAAATCGCTCCCATCATGTTATGTGCTGTTTGCCACTAGCCTGCGTTCTTTTAGCCAATGCCAACCAAGGCAACTGACAGTGGCCATCAGCAGTGTAAAACTAATCGCAGCTGTCCCCCTAGGACCTGTCAAGCTCATACTCATGGCAGGATCATTGCCCCCCGCACTCAGTTATGTGGTGCCCGAAATCCTTTCATGTACTGTATCCACCTATCGGCTGTAGTCTTGAAGATGGGATCATCGTCTATGGTTGCCAAATAAAGCAACTGGTTGATGTGCGTTGTGTGATAGTCCCAACGAGCGAGATTCGGCGCAACGCCGAGCGAGAAGTGCCTCAGGTCGTACGTCGTTCCAGAGCCGGTGTCGAATAGCGGCAACATTCGTTTTAATGAAACCATCCCGTCTAGGAAAAGCTTTTCCGCGTCCCTACACTGCTCCAACGAACCTGCTCCATCCCCGCAAGTGGACTTGACGTCATAAAGCCCGAAAAGTGAGTATATAAACCCATTCAACACAAACGAGCTAGGTACAGTGGGGTACTCTTCGTACCACACAAACTTGCCGAGAAAAGTCGTCATGACCCCGTGGGTCTCGGCGCGCACTTTGAAGGGGGCTGTGGCATGCAGAGCAGCGTCCAGGTATCTCCTCTCTCCCGTTGTCAGGTAGGCCCGCGTCAGCACCGACATGGCCTGCCCTTGAGCCATAGCCGAGTACCAGCCGGGTTCCAGTTCCAGCATGCCATTCGAGAGGCGGCGTGTCACTTGAATTGGCCAGCCGCCCGTGTCATCTTGGTGGCGCACAAGCCACTCAGCTGCATCGAAAAAGTGAGCCTCATGTGCGCTGGTGGTCAGGGTGAGGTTGTCGACGAGGCCGTAGCCCCGGAAGACGATGCTGTGGACTCGAAGGTTCCTAGGCCGAGCGGCCATCTTACGCTGACCGAAGCTGAGCCCCTTGACCAGGTCAACGGCCAAGTCGCGAGTCAGGTGCATCCAGGAGCGCTGGGTACCGATCCCGTAGTAGACGTCATGATCGTCGACGGCTAGGTGGGTGTCAGTCATGATGTAGTGGACACCGTACAGGGATGGCTTGTCGGCGCTGCCAGCAGTGAGGACCACACTGAGGCTGCCATTGAGGATGACCCTGAGGTCGACCGACATGGTGAGATTGTAGCACTCCTGCTTAAGTGCAAAGGCCACTCCCTGGTCCTGAGCAGTGCCTGCGCGATAAGCAAAGAAGCAAATGCTTTCTGATGTAGTAAACACAGTACGTTAACATAATTCCTCGCTGCATATTTAAGCAGCACATATCAGCTCACATGGTATACACTCGAACAGCTTTTCACGTTAACATTGGCACAGTGAGTCATCGTAAGATCCACACTAAAGACAACAAACTAAAAATATAGCGAATTTTTTCAAGTCTATACAGCTACTCTGAATTAGCAGCAGTTCTTTAATAATTTTGCAACAAATAAAATCGAGCAACTACTGCTACAAAAATGTGTGAACCAGCTATGCTGAAATTTTCAAGGGCCACTCACCAGGCCCCATACCAAATTTTAGTTAGACAGTGGAAGTTAATGGGTGTCCGATGAGGAACATTTTACCACAAAAATTTTTTGAATCGATTCATCACGAGTGGAGAAAACGGATTTTTTGAAGCAGCGCGAAATGAGGATGAGAGGAGGCGAGCTCGAAACCCTTGCTGCTCCTCCGTATAGCCATCATAAGCCAAATCTCTTCCCCACCTTCTCCGGCATCTGACCAAGAGGTCACGTGCGCATGACGTGCCCCAACAAGTCTAACTATCGAGCACGCGAGCGGCGTTGCTTTGTTGATTAGCGATATTTTGTGGTCTTCGGCCTGTTTCTGCGGGATGGTTTGGAAACGCTGGCTTAGACGTGGTAGAATAGATGAGCGCGTGAACGCGTAGGCGCGTTCCACGACAGTCTGCTCGATAAGCTGACCGCGGGTACACAAACGCATGCGAAATGCCGACACATTAGCCCCGCGACACATTAGCCCCGCATCTCGTTGCAATTCACGGGAGAAAAATTGAAAAAAGACGCTCACATTCCCTTATTGCATCTCATTATTTATCTAGAGCTTTATTAATCTCTTCAAGCAACAAATTACATAAACTACGCATGCCGTGTTAAATAATTTTCGTCATGTCACGTGCCACTATTTGCAATGTCAGAGCAGAGTCGTCTACGTAGAGAATCAACGTCACTGCATTGCCGTGTACGTAGGGCCATTCATATGCGCACGTCATGCCCTCATTCTCTGGCCGCGCGCCGGCAGAAGGAAGGGGGAGCACTGTTCATATTAAAATTTGACCCATTTCCGCGGCGCGTAGCATTGCAAATTTTGGCAGACGTGATCATGAATGCCTCGTCTACGCATTGCGCTTGTCTGCTCAAAATTGTCAAACCTGGTGAGTGGCCCTTCAAGACTGACAATACCACATGGTGACTGTGAGTCTTAAGAAAATTCAAAAATTCATCCCGTCTACTTTGCTGCTCTTTCAAAAATGTTCAACACTTGTTGATGTCAAATTCGGTATCCCGCTCGTGTGTTAAGAGCCGTCCCATTTGATGGCTCTTTATAAAAGCAAATAACAACAATAAAAAACATATTTATGCCCATCAACAAGCTGCAGAAAGAAAAAGCTGTATTATTGCTGCATGAAGGCTTACACACAATAAACCTCCTCAGGTGTGTTGCTATAGCATTTAGACATGAGAGAGGTGCAGACTTTAACCCCAAAACCTTTTTAGACGAGCTAAGCTCGACTTTGCCAAATTGTGCCTAAACAGTTTCGTATGTGTGTGGCCTGTTTACTAGAGATAGTATATCCCCATGGATTCTTTGAACGAGACTCAGACGTTTACAAGCTCATTTAATGGTTGCTTCATAAAAGTCAGCCCTTGCTTGGGAATTCTTTTTATTTCAACTGCCATTTCACATTTTTCTTGTGAGTTATGTTTAGAAAACTTCGTCCAAATAAGCTGATATGTGTGTTGCTCGTGCTTCGTGGTGGTAAAGAAGTCTATGCTCACCGTGCAGCTCTTCAGGTGTAATTATTCAGTTAGCAATGTTTGCCTTGATTGTGGAAGAGAGAATGATAGTGATGTTCTTGAACGATGCCCTTATTTTGCAATTTGTGAAAGACACTAATAGACCATGAAACAATAAACCCTAACTTGACTTGATATATGCTTCATTTTTTTAATATAGCTAAACATGCTTTTCAGGTGCAATACTATATTCAATAACAAGCGAAAATAAAAGCAACTTTTTACACAGGAAAACACCTGAAAAACGAAGCGGTTAAGGGCCTATTGAAAACCTGAAGATAGTAACAGAGATGACGGCAGAGTGATAATACATGAGCGATCAAATGATGCACGCAATGAATGTGGTGTAAGACAATGGGATTTGTGCACAGTTCAACCCGTAAAGAAAGAATTATAAACTTTTTGTTTGTCGTACAGAGCTAGACAAGAAGTATGTACAGATGTCTCAGAAAGAAAGCTTTTTATTCTACCAGCATGTTTGGACTGGTATGAGAGTTGAACGAAGGATGATCATAATTCTGGAGCCATTGCTCTACAACCCAAGCTGACCAGAAAGCTAGCAAATCAGAGTAAGAGAGTAAATCTAACAACATGTGAAACCACAGTGTGGGGTCGCTTGCACCCCCGGTAAAGCCATTTTCATCTCATGGCGCTCACCCGCTGTTACCTTATTCGCCGCTGACCAAACCTGGAATTTACTCCCGAAATAGAGCCAGTGGTGCTGCTTGGCAAGAGTAAGGCCATGCGGAGTCATGAGGAGGAGAGCTTTTCCTTCTTATAAGGGCTTGGCTTGGCCGTCGACATTCAACTCTCAATCCTTTCAATCGAGGTCTGCAGGGATGTTACAGCAGCTTGTTCACACGGACTTTCATAGGGAGTTGAACATCGACAAGGCGGCATTTGGAGTACATTGTATATGTTGTGTTCTTCGTGAGTATACTATATTGGCATTCCAGTAGGTTGTTTGTATGTGTTACAAGTTATTTGCGAAATTCAGGCTTGCCGTTGCATAAAAGCTGCTACAGTGAAAGCACGTTAAACCGTACCCGCGTAAACAGTAGTTTCGTTTTAAAAGTAGTGAAGTCAAATCCCCGACTCGGCGGCCATTGAACATAACGCATTTTGTATTCGCATAAGCCGTACCATCTTATCGCGTATGTATCGGTTAATAAGTAGTTTTTCCCCTTTTCGTTGCGCACTTGCCGTGGCATGTCGTCCCCCACTGGGCGTCCCAACAGAACAGCAAGCCCCGGAGATCAAAACTCGCCTCGCTTGTTTATGTTGATGATGATGGTTGGATGGATGGATGTGGCTGTACCCTTTAGATCGGGCGGCGGCTAACGCCACCTATCCGTAATACTTAGTAAACTAACTATTAGATTTATCTTTTTTTTTTCTTTAAATAGTGAGGTTGAGGATTCATACTTTGCAATGAAGGGTTTAATTTTCACTCGTGCCTTGACTTTAGCCACCAATCAAATAACCTCCTTCTAGTTAAGTCTACCCGCTTAATGTCAATTTTGCCCTCCCTGTCCCTAAACACCAGTGCTTTGAAAAACTCTGCGCCATCATCCTGAACTATAGGGTGAAGCCCTTTACAGAGCATTATCAAGTGTTCGGAAGTTTCTTTTTCCTCTCCACACGCACTGCATACTGTGTCTACCCCTTCGTATTTGGCCCGATATGTCTTGGTTCACAATACTCTCGTCCTGGCCTCAAACAGTAGAGAACTACCCTGAGAATTATCATAGATCCTTTCCTTGACAATTTCCTGCTTATAAATTCGATAGACCTCTAGTGCAGACTTCTTAATCATGCCCATTTTCCACATGTCAGTCTCCGTTTCCTTCACTTTCTTTTTAACCGATAGTTCTTTTTGGTTTGGCCACCTGCTGTTTTCTAAGTATTTACCAGTCAACTTCCTGGTTCGCTTCCTCCATTTTGTATCGACATTCTTCATGTACAAGTAGCCGAAAACGTTCCTAGCCCAACGCTCCTTCCCCATTTCTCTCAATCGCTTCTCAAATTTTATCTTGCTGCTAGCTTCCCTGCCTTCAAATGATGTCCATCCCATATCACCTTGTACTCCCTGATTTGGTGTATTCCCGTGAGCTCCTAAAGCAAGCCCACCTATTCCACGTTGCTTAATTTCCAATCTTGCTTGAACTTCTGATCTCATGCACAAGACTGCATTGCCGAACGTCAGCCCAATAACCATGACCCCTTTCCACATTCCTCTCACAACATCATACCTATTGTAATTCCACAGTGCCCTATTTTTCATCACTGCTGCATTCCTGTTACCTTTAGTCGTCACGTATATTTCGTGTTCCCTTAGGTACTCGGTCCCATTGCTTATCCATACGCCCAGATATTTGTATTTATCTGTTATCTCTAGCGTGACCTCCTGTATTCTAAGCTCACTACCTTCGTTATCATTAAAAATCATGACTGCTAATTTTTCCTAACCAAATCTAAAATCTAACCTATCTCCCTCATTGCGGCTGTGTTGGTGAGCGCCATCTCTTGGATTTTTCTGCAACAAGAAGCACTCGGCCGGCTAGGCCTCTGGTGTTGTTTACGCGATGAAGCTTTGCACAAACACGCAAACACGGTGTGCGCTTGCTTCGCTTCCTTTGTTCCTTTGGCGCCCTGCATAGGTGTTCTCTGGTTGATCCGCGCCGTGCAGCTCTCGCGCCGTTTTTCAAGTGTTGTGTATGTGTGCTTGTTCTGCTTCGTACTTGCGTCATGCCGAAGCTGGGACAAAAGCATCGAGTGCTGAACATAGAGAAATTGGACATCGTAGACGAAGCTTGCAAAACTCTGCTAGCTGAAGTTCTGGAGCGGCAGGGCGTTACGGAAGGCATTTCCTTCCCCGACTTCAGAGACGCAGACAGCGATGTGCAGACATCTCCGGACATGTCCGACGAAGCCATTGTTGCCTCGGTTGTCGAAGTGTCGCCAAATGATAATGATGAGGACGACATGGAAAGCAACAACACGGGTGATCCAGGTCCGACAGTGGCCGAAGTTGCGCATTGCATCAGCGAAATGCGGGTATTTGCCGAGAAGAGGGGGCTGGCGGAAAAGCTGGCTCACTGCATAAGTGAGTTTGAGGCCGCTGTCGTTGCTGCTAG